ACTAATATTGTACTGTCTAGATTACTATAAATATATAGCAAATCTTAAAATTGGATAGAGTGATTCCTCCCACTTTATTCTTCTTTTTCAAATTTCTTTTAGCTGTTCTAGTTCATTTGCCATTTCACTTGAATTTTAGAATAAGCTCATCTATATCTATAAAAAAATTTTGCTAGAATTTGATAGGAATTACATTAAACCTATGGAAGTTTGGGGAGAATTGCTATCTTTACTATGTTGAGTATTCCATTCCATGAACACAGTATGTCTCTCCATTTATTTAGCTCTTTTTTGATTTCTTCATCAGCATTTTGCAGTTTTCAGCATTGATGTCCAGAACATGTATTATTATATTTATACCTTAATAAATTGTTTTTTGAACATTTATAAATAGTAGTGTATTTTATACTTGATTCTACCTGTTCACTGCTGGCATACATACACATATTTTTTGTATCTGCATAACTTAATTTTTATTTAAGCAAAAGAAATCAACTTTTAGCATCCACTTTCACTGCAAAGTGCCTATTTACCTTCCATTTATGTTTGTATTCTTTGCTAACATATTTCTTTTTTTTAGCAAATATTTACTCCTATAAATATCTTAGCAAAATCACCAGGGGAACTTTAAGAAAACAAAAGGAAAGCTGCTAAAATTATGCTCAGTGCATTTTCCTTAAAGCACATCAACTTTTAGTATCCTGAAGTCAAGACAGAAATCTTAAAGTAGATGCCACAATTCAGCCTGGAGGATTTGTCTGAAAAAAATTTTAGATGCTAACAATGAGCTCCACAGCTGCCATTCTGATGATAGTTTAAAGCTTTATGAAAACAAAACTCACCATAAAATTCATCCTTTTAAAGTGTACAATTCAATGTTTTGAGTATATTCACAAAGTTGTGGGAAACCCTTATCACTATCTAATTCCAGATCATTTTCATCACCCCCAAAAGAAACCTTGTACCTCTTAGCAGTCGCTCCCATTCTCCCCTCCACCCAGCCCCCAACAACCTAATCTCCTTTTTGTCTCTATGAATTTGCCTATTCTGGACATTTCATATAAATGGAATCATACAATATGTGGTATTTTATGTCTGGCTTCTTTCTTTCCCTCACCATAATGTTTTCAAAGTTTATCAATGCTGTAGAATGTATTAGCATTTCATTCTTTTTTTATGGCCGAATAGTATTCCATTGAATGGATATACCATTTTTGTTTATCCATTCATCACCTGATGGGCATTTAGCATTTTCCTACATGATTTTAGATTTTAAAAATTAAACTTTTTATTTTGAGATCATCACTGATTCACATGTAGGAGTAAGAAATAATAGATCCCTCCAATGGTAACGTCTTGCATAACTATGGTACAATACCACAACCAGGAAATTTACACTGCAACAATACACTGGTTTTTTAACAGATTTCACCAGTTTTGCCTAATATTGTGGTTTAGCTCTAGGCAATTTTATCACATGTGTACATCTGTGTAATCACCCCTGCAGACAAGACACAGATCGATTCCACACCAAAGAATCCATTGTGCTGCTCTCTTATAACATTCAGCTCCCTTCTCACCCTATTCCGAATCCCTGTAAACCACTAATCTGTTCCCCATCTCTGTAACTGTCATTTTAAATTACATATTTTAAAAATTATGTGTATAAATGGACTCATACAATATGTAACCCTCTGAGATTGTTTTTTTTCCACTCAGTATATATCCTTTGAGATCCATCCAAGCAGTTTTATCGGTAGTTCATTCTTTTTATTACTGAATAGTGTTCGATTGTATGAATGTACCACACTTTGTTTAATCATTCATCTGTTGAAGGATATTTGGATTGTTTCCAGTTTGGAGTTAACATGAATAAAGGCACGATGAGCATTTGTGTATATGCCTTTGTGTGAATGTAAGTTTTCACTTCTCTGGGATAAAAGTCCAACAATGCAGCTGGTGGATTGTATGATAATTACATGTTTGGTTTATAAGAAGTTAACTATTTTCCAGAGTACTTTTACCATATTAGATTTCCATCAGGATTGTATGAGTGATTCACTTTCTCCACATCACTGTCAGCATTTCCTTCTAGGCACCATGGTTTCTGATGAGAAATCCAATGTCATGCAAGTCATTGCTCCATTATAGGTAATGTGTCCTTGCTAACTACTTTTAAGATTTGTTTGCCTTTAATTTGGAGAAGTTTGTGATGTGTCTTTGCATGGATTTCTTTGGGTTATCTTGTTTGCGGTTCACTCAGCTTCTTGAATCTATAGGTTTATGCCTTTGGCCAAATTTGGTATTTAATATTTTTTTAGCCATAGACTTTTTCTTCTCTCCTTCTGGGACTCCGATGACAAGAATGCCAGATCTCTCATTATCGTCCCAGAGGCCCCCGAGGCTATCACTTTTTAATTTCAGTCTATTTTGTGTTTAGCAGATTGGGTAATTTCTATTGATCTATCTTCAGTTAGCAAATTCATTTCACTTTCATCTCCCTTCTTATATGTAGCCCATCCGTGAGGTTTTGGTTTTTTAAAAAAATTTCAGTCGTTGTAGTTTTCAGTTCTAACATTTCCATTTGTTTTTTAAAAAATTTTATTTATTTATTTATTTATTTGTGCCGGGTCTTAGTTGAGGCAGGCTGGCTCCTTAGTTGCGGCTCCAGGGCTCTTAGTTGTGGCTTGCCAGCTCTTTATTTGAGGCACGCGGGCTCCTTAGTTGTGGCATGTGAACTCTTAGTTGCGGCATGCATGTGGGATCTAGTTCCCCAACCAGGGATCTAACCCGGGCCCCCGGTATTGGAAGCGCGGAGTCTTATCCACTGTGCCACCAGGGAAGTCCCCTTATTTCTTCCTTGTATCTTTGTTTTGCTGGGACTTTCTCATTTGTTTCTTTCCTTCCCCAATCCTGGATTCAGGCTTTTCTCCAAGGAGATGCTGAATCAGGGGTGGCCGAGAGGTTTGTCCTCACCACCAACCCCCTCCCAAATGGCCAGCTAGCTAACAACCAGATGCACCTTCATGCCCTGGCCCAAGACACCACAGGCATGCACACCCAGCCCCAACCATTCCTGAGTGCCCAGGCCTTGGCTAGAGTGTCCACAGGGTGGGAGCAGGGAGACCAAGAACCTAGCCTGGGGTTTGAGGAGGGGGAGACAGGACTGTGCATGAGTTGGACTCCAAGCCCCCATCAGGCTCCACTGTCCCATCAGGCTTCACTTGAAAGCACAAATTCAAAGATAAAATTAAGAATTCCAAAATGGCAAAGATAGAGCATTAAAGTCCAAGTGCAGGGAACTTCTGGGCACAAGCCCTGTGTATGTTTATTCTTTTGTTTCTCACTCAATTTTGTAATTTTGTTTCATATAAATGCTAAAAGGTCTTGTTACTTATAGGTGATTTATATTTGTTTCTATTGTGAATAAAATTTTCCCATTATAATTTGCTAACTGGTTAGTAATGAGAATATAGAAAAGTCATTTTTAAGTTACTTTTGATGGCTATTTTAGTATTTCTTTTTGTTTTTTGTTTTTTTTTTGGTGGTACACAAGCCTCTCACTGTTGTGGCCTCTCCCGTCGCGGAGCACAGGCTCCAGACGCGCAGGCTCAGCGGCCATGGCTCTCGGGCATAGCCACTCCACAGCATGCGGGATCTTCCCGGACCGGGGCACAAACCAGTGTCCCCTGCATCGGCAGGCGGACTCTCAACCACTGCGCCACCAGGGAAGCCCTATTTTAGTATTTCTTATCTCACCACTTTAGTAAAATTTAATAAAGTTTCAATATCAGTTCTTAGGTTTTCTACATATAAGTCATGTGAAGTAGGTCAGAAAGAGAAAGACAAATACCGTATGCTAACACATATATATGGAACTTAAGGGAAAAAAAATGTCATGAAGAACCCAGGGGTAAGACAGGAATAAAGACACAGACCTACTAGAGAATGGACTTGAGGATACGGGGAGGGGGAAGGGTAAGCTGGGACGAAGTGGGAGTGGCATGGACATATATACACTACCAAACTAAGGTAGATAGCTAGGGGGAAGCAGCCACATGGCACAGGGAGATCAGCTCGGTACTTTGTGACCACCTAGAGGGGTGGGATAGGGAGGGTGGGAGGGAGGGAGACGCAAGAGGGAAGAGATATGGGAACATATGTATATGTATAACTGATTCACTTTGTTATGAAGCAGAAACTAACACACCATTGTAAAGCAATTATACTCCAATAAAGATGTAAAAAAAAAAAATAAAGTCATGTACAAGTAACAGCGATCACGAGCACTTAGCATTGCTAGGTACTGTCCTAAGTCATTTAATCCTCACAACTCTTTGAAGCAGGTACCATTATTACCCCCATTTCACAGATGAGGAATGTGAAACATGAGAGGCTTGCCCACGGCCAAAGAGCTAATAAATAAGTGGCAGAGTCTAAATTCAAAACTAAATCCAAGCCTTTTAGCTGGAGTCCATGTCCTCAAACACCATGCTATAGTAACTGTATATTGATTAGATTAACCCCCTTTATTTGTCTGAAGGCTGAGTGCCTTTTTCTGACTGCGTCAGAAAAAGGCTAATTGTAGTGAGAGCAAACATCCTTCTCTTGTTCTTAATTTTAGTTAATTTAATGCCTGTTTCATTTTTAAGTATGATAATGATGGCTGTGGCTTAAAAGGGAAACCTTTATAACATGAGAATACTAATAATGTACATTTTCCTAAGATGAAGAACCAAGAATTAACCTATTTGGAAGAGGAATGGATCAGGAAACTTTATTGATAAGGACTTCTGTTCCAAAAGTTTATTCTAATCACATTTATAGTACATAAAATATCAGTACTTTCTTGTTGACAAAACAGAAACTCTGGCCATAGTACTGATGCTGACTTAAGAGAAATATGAGAGTCCAAATGTGAAGAACTCAACCAATATGAGACATATACAAAAAAACAGTTCAACAATTTAAACATAGGTAAGAAGTCAAGAGAAGACAGCTTTTTGGGGAGGCTGATAAGCATTTTATTTAACAAACATAATATACAACGACTAAAAGAACGGTATATTCCCAGGAGAATTAAGAGTGTGTATACCTGGATTAGCACCTAGAAAGTACATAGAAAAGAAAAAAGAGGAAAGCTTTCTACAAAGACAATCTGGGCCCAGGTTTCTATGAGCAGATTCTCCCTGTATTTGATGGTAACTCATTACATTCCAAGTCAGCTTGGCTATCTATCAGCTGACTCAGTTAACTGCTTCATGTCTTCAGTGCTTTAGGACAATAGATGTGTCAACGTGATGGATTTTATATGTTAATTTAAGTAAAGGGTAAAAAGTTTTATACCCACCCCAGTTTTATTCCAAAACTACTGCACTACAGATTTGTGGTACACCATTAGAAAGATACTGGAAAAGCAAAGGAAGCTTTCTTAACTGCTTGTGTGATGTGATCTTGTTCAAAAATGGTGCCCTGGGAATTACAATTTCACAAGTACACTGAGAATCTGTAGAAATCACTGAATGCAAGGAGGATCATAATGCTGTATTTAGGTTATGAAAGGTTCCATTAGGATTAGAAAAGGCTCCACGCTGCCAGGGGCTGTAAAGCCTCACTGAATAAGCCATCAGTTCACGTTATACTGTGCATTTAGTGCAATATTCTTTGGTTACATCATATTACCCACCAGGAGGAAAACTCCTTTGCTTACAGAGTAGATCAGTAGTTCCTAACTGGGGGCAATTCTGTCCCCCAGGAGACATTTGGCAATGTCTGGAGACGATTTTTCACAACTGGGGGGGTTGCTACTAGCATCTAGTGGGTGTAGAGGTCAGGGACACCGCTAAACACTCTACAATGCATGGGGCGGCACTCAAACAAAAAAGTCCTCAGGCTCCAAATAGTACTGAGGTTGAGAAATCCTGAAAGAGGCTTATATGATGTGTGTCTGGGTTGTCCATAAAATCAAAATTACACCATAGAGGCAGAAAGCCCCCCTGCACTTTAAAGCTCAGAGGGATTCCCCATCAGCTCTCATCTGCAGAGACCTATTCAGTCCTGTCTTCTGACCCAGACCCAGGGCCACCTTCCTTACCAAGAGCTCAGTAAATATTTGTTTGCTGAATGAAAGGAGGAAAGAGGTGCCAACAGCATGGTTCAGCCTTAAATTGACAAGTTACTTCAGTAACTTTACATGACCTAAACAGTATCCTCAACCTCAATAGTGTCACATTCTCTGACTGTACAGGACCTCAAAGTTAGGGCTAACACATTGTAACGATGGAGTTAACATTTTAGGGGAGTATGTCTAAATACTTCTAGATTCATTTTGGTGGGGCAAACCAAATAAAATGGTGTTAAAGGCAAACATTCAATATACTTCATTTTAAACTAAAAAAAAAAAAATTAACACATGAAATGCCATGCACAGCAGACACCATTCCTTTTTTTTTACATATTTACAATTTTACATATTTACTTAGCAATATATCTTCTATCTTTACAATTATAAAATTATTTTAAACTGTAGAACAGTGGTACCGTTGTATTTTCTTAAACATACATTTTTGTAGCATTCATTTGTTTTATCCTTTAAAAGGCAATTATTTAACCAAATCCAAAACCCACTGAATGCCACAGAGAAAGCATGTAGGAAAATCATGGAGAAAAAACAGATTTGCAGACAAAACTTTCAAACAAGTCTTAAATGAATCTATTCAGTGACTCAAATAAATAGTGCATTTTTTACTAAGTCTCCCCAGACAGGAAAAACAAAACAAAATGAACAAAACAATCCCCACAAACTGTACCTTTAAAAATGCTCTGATATTTATAAGCAATTAAGTTATACTCTAGACCCCAATCAGTGGACTGTAGTAAGGGCTGGCTATAATTTAGGCTCAAATAAATACTATCCATGTAAATTTTCATCATCCTGCATAAACTTGAGGTTGCAATGGTGGAGGAAGTTTATCATTTTCAACATTTTCAGAGTCAATAGAAGCTAAAGACTGATTTGGGGGCCTAATTTCAAGCGGGTATTTCTCAACAATGTCTTGAACCTCTTTTGCGATTCCATCCGTCCAATCTATTAGGTCTTTCTCAAGCTTCTTGGCTTCATTCATAATCCTTTCCTGCCGTTCATTCAATTGAGACAGGAGATCCAAATTCTTATACATCTGCTTAACACCTAAGCAAGCATCAGGAGACCAATTCTCAGATTCCTGCTTCCTGGGAGAAGTCTGGCCAGACATGTATCGATCAAAATCTTCCTGACTTAAATTCAAAGACTGAGCGTCTAATTTCTCAATGAAAGCCACGGCACAACACTATAAATATAAAGAAGAGAATGTTATTTATTATAGTTGTATGAGGAAAGCTACAAATATTCAAATAGAATGTTAAAAATCCTTTTATTATGGAGAATTTAAAACAGAATCAAAAGTCGACAAAATAATCTCATGAGCCTCCATGGACTTTCATAGCCACTCATGTTGTTTCCTTTATACTCCCATCTGCAATAATACATTTCTTCCTTTAAAAAAAAAATTAAATCTAATTGTCATCTTCATCGAGTCTGTCAGAAATTCCATCCTCTCCTTGGGTTGTTCGCAGGTCCTAGGGTCTTGTACAGAGTGAAATATTTGAAGAGGCACCTTCAGTATTTGTTCTGCAATGGTTATCACAGAGTTTCCTGTGATGTTCCTTGAGGTCAGAGGCTCTCTGCTTCCCTGCCATGCTGCAGGGCAGAGGAACCCCTGTTGTGGCCAGGAGCTCCAGGGCCAAGGATCTGGGGGCCATGCCCCGTAAGGCCCTTTGCTTCTGAGGCTATGCTAGCTCCACAAGGCCCACCCAGTGCACAGCCAGCCACTGAGCATGTCCTCAGGTACTGGTGCGGCACACAGATCTCTGGTCCTCAAAGAGAGATTTTAACATCAAACGGTTAAAGGATAAGCTTAGAAATCAGACAGCCTGAGTGAATTGCCACCTCTGTCACTTTGACAGCCCAGAGTTGTGTGACCCTAGAAAAGTTACCTTAGCTCTCTGTGGTTTCCGCATCTGTAAAATGGGGGAAATACCACCCAGATGTATTGTGAGAATTAAACAACATAACACATGTAACATGCTTAGCTCACAGGTCTGTAGTAAGCAATGAATAAATGGTAGCAATTATTAGTACAACAAATGCAAATGTTGAGTGACACAGACATGGTAGTTATACTTTCTTTTTCTATTTTTTTTTTTTGTTTGCGGTACATGGGCCTCTCACTGTTGTGGCCTCTCCCGTTGCGGAGCACAGGCTCCGGACGCGCAGGCTCAGCGGCCATGGCTCACGGGCCCAGCCGCTCCGCGGCATGCGGGATCTTCCCGGACCGGGGCACAAACCCATGTCCCCTGCATTGGCAGGCGGACTCTCAACCACTGCGCCACCAGGGAAGCCCTATACTTTCTTATATTAATTAAATTTTTCTATAAGGAGCACATACCATTTTCACACTTCTTTAAAAAAAGCTATTTTCATAAGAAAACATGCACTATAAACAGGAGAAAATAGGCAGCTCTCAGAATTTCTTCTGAGAAACTCATTCATGGGATCTTACCTTATTATTCATAAAAAAGCGAATCACCTCCTTAAAGAATATTTAGCAAATCTATTTTAACAGACTCATCTGATGATAATGTGCCCGTCTGACCCTTCCCCATGGGCTCACACTATGTGTGTGGAATCGCTGCAGCCCGTTATCTGGAAAGAGGAGGCATCTAAGACGATTCTAACATTCCTGGCTTAGGGGAGTAGATGTGCGGTACGGCCACTAATGGAGATAGTGCTTATTGGAAAAGAAAGAAACATTTGATGGGAAAGCAGTTTCAGTTTTGAACAAATTAAATCTGAGGCACGATAAACAGCTGGGAGTGGAGCTCAGTGTGAGGTCAAAACAGGTGACCTGCGGGTCCTCACTGTACAGGTGACCGGCAGAATTACGACCAGAGGAGACAGTCTAGGGAGAGAGGTGCACAGAGGACAAAACCCCAGGGAATAACTCATTCGAGGGGAAGTGGAGGACACGAGGCCCAAGAAGAACCCAGGAAGATGGAGTGGAATTATGGAAGCCAAGGCGCATGAGAAATTCCAGAAGGACGGAGTCATAAGGAGTGTTAAAGAAGTGAAGTGAAACTGACAGTTCCCATGAGATTTGGCAACTGGCAGATTTTTTACTTTTGCCACAGCAGTTTCATTGGGGCAGTGGGAGTAGAAGCCAGACTCTGAGTCAGGCAAGAAGAGGATGAAGAAAGAAGATGCCAACACAGTTAAGGCTGTAGGTCAGGGGGCTGGGAAGCTGCAGAGTGCAGGTGATTCAAGTACCCATCTTTTTCAGACAATTCACCAGAAATGCTTCCTTATGTAACCTGGCCTCCCCTGCCTACCTATCACCCTGTACAACTTCCAGCACAGGAAACAGAGAACATAGGGTGTCTCGAGGCTCGAATTCACTGGCTTGACAATAAATCTAGTCTAAAGCAAACAAGCAGTAGTCCAGCGGTCAGTAAAAGGAAGTATTCTGCCTTATAACTGAGATGTGCATACTTTACTACTGTTCTGCCTAGAGTTAATTAGCACTGTAGAAAAACAATAGCTGAAAACCATTTCACATCCTCTAACCTGATGCTTTCTTAAAATATCTCAGTATTCAGTTTTAAGACGTAACTTGTAAAAATAAAACAAAAAATAAATATTAAGTCTTTTAATAAAGGAATCAGTCCAAGATCTGACTTACTCATGGTTGAAACAACCAACTAAGTGAAAGGCTCTTATACCCAGGAGCCCAGAGGCAAATGCCCAGCAGCAGCAGAGACTCCTCAATGTGGCCATCATGTGTCCTGTAGGGGACCCACAATGGCTAAGTCCCAGGAGGTGGCATGTGTGCATGGCCTGGTCACATGTGCTCTGTGACACCAAGCAAGCATCCTCAGCTATGCTGACCCCTCAACTCAGGAGCACTAATGTGTCACAGGCCTGTGAGTGACCTGTCACATCCTTAAAATAAATACCTTCTTGCTTCTTCTCTTCAACACCAAGAAATCAAATACTCACCAGGTTGGTGAAATAGTAGCCATCCTCTCCAGTCATCAATCGGCTTGGGTTGCAGAAGCGGGTGATATACTGGATATTGGACTGAAGGCGTGGGGGGTTGCCCTTCAAAACAATGTAGATGAGAGTGGGTAAGAAGTCATCAGCTGAAGCTGGCTCGTTCTTGGTGATCTTGATGGCATTGAAGATATGCTTGCTGCACTTGGTGATGCAGGCCAACTTATCCCGGGGCACACGCTTAGAATCCATTTCAATGATATCTGTAAAGGAGAAAAGATGCTACTTCCAGTGAGAAAGTCATTACATCAAAGAGGCGTTAGGATAATCATATTTTATCTATTAAGTTACAGAGGTACCCTCGCTAACCCCTTCTCCACCAGTTAACTTAGTGTATGAAAAACTTAGACTGTAACAACAGTAGATACTAGCTCACACTTAGGAAATACATGACGATGAGCCAGGCCCTACTCACTGTGCTCTACAAGCATATTTCTCTCCATCCCCAGATTATGCATGTGCACTATTATTATTAAGGGAACTGAGGTTCAGAAAGGTTCAGTGATTCGCCCAAGATCATACAATAAAAAGGGACACAGGGAGGATTTGAAGTCAAGTCTATCTGACTCTAAAGCCCATTCTTTTAATCATGATGGTACAAGTATTTATGAGCTCCACAGAGAAATAAGCAGAGTCTCTTTACTGTTTTTTTTCCTCTTAATACATGGTAAAACTCAGTTTAGAAGGCCTCATTTGCATAATGCTTTTTAGAAATGTGGCTATTATATTGATACAAGGCATTTCTGTACTGGATATCAAAGTGCAAGCGGCTGAAATCCATCACATGGAGGTCCATGGTGGCCAGTCCTCGCGGCATGTGAATCTCCACTAGCAACGAATATCTACAGCGCCTTTATGACACTTATAACCTGCTGGTTAGCAGAGAGGATGAGCATGGGTATACATTTAACCTCATAAACAATATTTTATTTCTCTCAGAAAAAAATTATTTCACTGCCCTTAACTACCACTAAGTCCATCTGGTGGGCTCTTATAAGTTCATTCTTTGTCACAAAGACTAGGGGGCAATGAGGAATAATCAAGTACAAACTCAGCACTGTCAGAACAACACAAGAGGAGGGGAGGTGTGTGCCTTTGAGATGGACACATCTGTTGCAGTCTAGAACATCATGAAAGAAAAGAGCTGAGGCAGCACCAATTTCTTGCCATTAGCAGGAATATAAGTTCCAGATTTACGTGGGATGGTGGTACATGCCAAAGAGTTCTTTCTGCTCTTAGCTCTCATCCCTGAGGTCAGCTACCTGGGGAAACCCTCACAGGACCACCAGCCATGGAAGACTAATGTGTGTGGAACAGGAACGCTGGACAGTGCAGAGGCCTGATTGTAACTTATTAATATTTCCATTCCCCCCACTTACCTGTCTATTGTATGAATGATATAATTTTTGTTCTATTTATTTCCTTTAATCTTTTAATTCTGGGTTGTAATTATTGTTACTATGTCTCAGTCTATTTCTTTTTCTTTTTCTATTTAAATAGAACTTATTACCAAAAAAGATCTGGGGAAATGTATATTTTTTATACCATTTTCATCCTATTTAGCCTTCTGCCTTTTACTGTTGGTTTTCATTCTCTATTTCAAACATTTAACCATTTTCTCATTAATCTTTATTCTTTAAGTTTTAAAAGGAATGAAGTGTGAATTACAGGCATACATCATGTTATTGCGCTTCACAGATATTGTGCTTTTTAAAGATTGAAGGTTTGTGGCAACCTGCGTCAAGCAAGTCTCTCAGCACCATTTTTCCAACAGCATTTGCTCATTTCATGTATCTGTGTCACATTTTGGTAATTCTTGCATATTTCAAACCTTTTCATTACTATTATATTTGCTATCGTTATCTGTGATCTTTGATGTTACATAGTAACTGCTTTGGCATTTTTAGCAATAAAGTATTTTTTAATTAAGGTATGTATATTGTTTTTTAAGACATAATGCTATTGCACACTGAATAGACTACAGTATAGTGTAAACATAACTTTTATATGCACTGGGAAACCAAAAAATTCGTGTGACTCACTTTATTGTGATATTTGCTTTATTGCAGTGGTCAGGAACCGAACCTGCAATATCTCCAAGGCCTATCTGTACTTTTTATCTGGATGCATGTGTAGCTGCCACTGCCAAGGAGCAGGGCCAATAGTGTAAAAAGGAAGAGAACAGAAGGAAAAGGAAGGAGAATAAAGGGGAAAACCCAAGGGATTTCTCCCACACTCTTCATCTTGTTGTGAACACCACCCTTCCTAAGTATCCTTTAGTCTGAGAGAAGTTTCTTTTTGTTTTTGGAACCTCCACCCCAATGAGCAGTTCCATGATTTGCACTGTGCTAAAGTCTAAACTAGGAGACATGGAAAGAAAAGTAAACAAAACAGGAAACTCACCACTGTATTAGTTGTTCCTCTAGTAATGACCTTCCCTTCCCAATCTACCTGCTATTATTTACTTTTCAGAGTCCTCAGATACTGCTTTGCACCTTCTGTTCAGGGCTTTTAATTAGTATGAAAGATAGGGTTGAGTGTGGGTACTCTATCTTAGCAGATGTCCAGGCTTATCTTTAATGGGGTTTTGAAAACAAAGTAGGCTGTACTTCTAGGTCAGTCAACCTGGGCACTACTGACATCTGGACTGGATAATTCTGTTGTAGTGGACTGTCCTGTGCATTGCAGGATATTTAGTAGCATCCGGGGGTTCCACTCACTAGAAGACAGAGGTCAACAGAAATGGCAAAGGCCTCAGCTCAGTGTATTTATAAACAAAACTGACAGTCCTGATTAGTAGCACACAGGACAATTTGGAGAAATTTCACTGATTATCTCCATATTTAAGACCGTTGTTACAGACTGTCCTTTCTAAGGCTGACAAGTTTAGAGTAGGAAGAAAGTGATCATATAAACTTTGGTCCTCAGAGACAGAATGTGTCTGCACTTGGATTGGCAAGAAGACAGGGCTAAGATGAGAGAATAAGAAGGCTTTTAAAATTTTGTGGCTGTTATTTTTACTATCAAAAGATCTCTTGAAACACCACCTTAGATGCCTCAAGAGAAAAGTTCCACCTCTCAAATTCTTTTTTAACATCTTTATTGGAGTATAGTTGCTTTACAATGGTGTGTTAGTTTCAGCTGTATAACAAAGTGAATCAGCTATACGTGTACATATATCCCCATATCTCTTCCCTCTTGCACCTCCCTCCCTCCCACCCTCCCTATCCCACCCCTCTAGGTGGTCACAAAGCACCGAGCTGATCTCCCTGTGCTACGCGGCTGCTTCCCACTAGCTATCTATTTTACATTTGGTAGTGTATATATGTCCATGCCACTCTCTCACTTCGTCTCAGCTTACCCTTCCCCCTCCCCATGTCCTCAAGTCCATTCTCTACGTCTGTGTCTTTTTTCCTGTCCTGCCCTAGGTTCTTCAGAACCATTTTTTTGGGAAAACTTGAGTACAAGTTTCAGGCTTCATCTTTGATCTCTTACGGATATTCCCTGAGCAAAAGGTGGGGTTGGAGGGGGGTCTTGACCCAAAGTAGTCATTCATGGGACCCATGAGTAGCCTAGAATAAAAGCTCTGAACAACAAAGTGGACACTATTTAGTGAGGCCAATTAAACTCTACACAGGGAAATACAGAAAATAATTCATTTCTTAATGAGAGCTGAAATGCAAAGACGTACAAAGAGAAGCAGGACCTGAGAAAGTGGAAGAATCATGTTAACCGGGAGATAATTCAGTCCCTAGAGGGGCCTTGAAGCTAAGTTTCTGTGACAGCCTCACCTCCCTTCCAACCCTGAGAGTACCTTAAGCAAACCCCCCCCCCCCCCGCCATTTCTTCCCGTAACTTGAGTCTCTGGTTCTGAAAACCAGCGGAGCCTACTTAATGGCGCGCCTCCAGCATGGCTAACATCAGCTGGCCCACTCTCCTTCCCAGCAGAATTTCATTAACAATCTCTAAAGCAGCAAGTCTTTCCAACTCTTCTCCTTAATGAAGAAGTTGGGGGACTTCCCTGGTGGCGCAGTGGCTAAGACTCCGTGCTCCCAATGCAGGGGGCCGGGGTTCTATCCCTGGTCGGGGAACTAGATCCCACATGCATGCCGCAGCTGGGAGTTCACATGCCACAACTAAGGAGCTCGGCTGCTGCAGCTAAGATCCGGTGCAACCAAATAAATGAACATATATTTAAAAAAAAAAAAAAAAAAGAAGTTGGGCAAGTTGGATGTCTTCTCCATTAGGAGGTTTTTTTGTTTGTTTGTTTCTGTTTTTAAACTTTTGTGTTGCACTTCTGCTGGATTATTCCTATGAATAAGAAACAGAAAACTTATTAGATGCCTGGACCTGTCCAGAATGTCAGAGCCACATCGATTTAGGGCACTTCATTTACTTCTTGAACAAACCAGAAAAGTAATTCAAAGCACATCTCTGATGAACAACCAATTAGAGGCATCATTTTTTTTTAAACTTTATGATCTTGTCATAGACAAGGATTTCTTAGATTTCTTAAAAAATACACACACACACACACACACACACACACACACACACATTTTTTTATTTAGTTGTGCTGCGTCTTAGTTGCGGCTCACTGGCTCCTTAGTTGCAGCACATGGGTTCCTTAGTGGCAGCTTGCAGGCTCCTTAGTTGTGGCATGCGAACTCTTAGCTGCAGCATGCATGTGGCATCTAGATCCCCGACCAGGGATCGAACCTGGGAGGGCAGAGTCTTAACCACTGCGCCACCAGGGAAGTCCCTAGAGGCATCATTTTAATATATAATTCTAGCTTGGGGATGACCCTACCTCACCAATTCCACCTCTCAAAATTATTTTGAATATATAAATGCAACTTAGTTTTAAGAAATTTACCCTAGCTGTATTTGACTTTAGTTCAATGCTCAAGAAATAAGTCATGGAAAATGAAGGGGGAAAGTGGTTTACCTGCCAATCTGCATGCTTCAAATTCATAAAACTAACACTTTTACCACATTCCAACATAGCTTTGGCAGTTTGCATTTTAAAAGTACTTTAGGAACACTGTCTTTTTACTCACTGAAGTAAGTATAGATTTATAAAGCCAAATGCTAACTTCAAGGGAAAAGCATCCAAATATAAAAGCTCTCAGTTTCACTGACCTGTAATTGCTTTCACCACCATATCAGACACTTCTGGAATTTCTTCATTAACAGGGACACAAAGCATCTGAGGTGTAACCCAGTGCAGGGCTCTACCGAGAGAGAGAGAGAGAGAGAGAGAGAGAGAGAGAGAGAGAGAGAGAGAGAGAGAGAGAGAGAGCGAGACAGTGAAAAAAAGTTCCAAGGATGGGCTGTAAGCAATTACCTTGCCATTTCCTCAGTTAAGGGAACGGGGATGGGGCACCACTGACTAATCACGCAATCCTAGGCGCACACACATACTAGGAGCTCAAATGATGTGCCAAAGTAATGGGAATCCTAAAACGAGGCTTCTCTTCTGCACTTATCACAAGAAAGCAGAAGACAATTTTACCAGCTGAAATGAGATTATACTATGATTGAAAAGCACTTGATAGTTGAATGAGGATCTGAGAAGCCTCTGCTGCTCCCTGACCTTACTGTTGCCTTTTTGGCTCTGCCCTCGACTTCTGAGGCACACCAGAGCCTGAGTAAGAGGTCAACAAGCATGTGTCACTTCTGCCTGAAATCACTGACGTTCCTCATCACATGGTACCTTTGCTCCAGAGATTCTGCTGCTGACCCTCACCACTTGCTTGACTAACACTCTCACCCTGCACCTCAGTCCAAAGCCCACCTAGTTACTTCTGGCTCTGTCTTCCATCTTCCCAAGAACAACTCCTCACTTCTGGTGAGACACCATCAAGTACAAAGCTACCAATTACCAGCCCCGCTGTCTGGGAACCCCATTTGCGGTTCCTAGGCCCCTCTCCTCCAGAAGCACCTCATCGTGCTCAGGCTTGGCCCTGTTCCCACATGTAGACAGCCTCTTTCCTCAGTGTTTTGCTGCCATTGGAATGCAGAGCACCGGGGCTCACTCTTCTGGCCATGGAAGAGTGGGTGCTTTGCGAAGTGTTAGCAACCCAGTGGTAGCGGAAAGATACGATTAGAGGAATGGCTGAATCAAATCACGAGCACCCATGGTAGGAATGAGGAAAAACGACACACACTGCCTTGATAATGGATACTCACAGCTTCCTGCCTGACAAGATAGTTAGTGCAGTGAAATGAGAAAACAATGAAATTTCCTCCTGTTCCTTGGAGATTTTGGAGATTTAAACAGTCTCACATATCAAACATGGTTCTTATCTAAAGCTGCCTGGATTCAAATGAATAAGCAAGATGGTGACTTAAGCCTTTTCATCCTGTCAATTTACCACATTCCTTTTCTTTCTGACACCACAAAGGAGTTTATATGCTAAGGATGGCAGGTACCTAAGCTGTTACTTGCTCTGAAGGTTTGAAACTCAAGTGTCCTGTTTTCTTGCAATGTGTTCTTCCAACAGGAGGTAGCAAATAAATAACAGCAAGAAAAAGCAGAACAATCAGCTACCTGATCCTTTTTTGAATAGCGAGATCTTTCTTCTCATCATCAGTAGTTTCTGGACAGAACACATATTTATAGAGACGAGTCATGATGTACTTTTCAATCTGATCCATTATCTTCTCAACTCTTTCTGGAGGCACTGAAATATCCAAATGGATATTTGAATGAAGGATGAACATTTAAAATTAAAAGTATGTTTTCACAGTACTTTCAACATAGCAGAAAACTAATTTACCAGAAATACATTAAATATACTCAGAAACAAAAGTATAAGATGTTACATTAAAAAGTACCCTTTAAAAAATTACCTCAACTTTTGGGGCTGCCTTTTATAAAACTCCTACTTCTAACTTAAGCTGTATGGCAGGACCTGTTGTACACCCTGCCAAGTGGGAAGACCTCAGCATGGGTCATTCCCTATTGCTGCATTAGAAAAGCACATGAAATTCCCAAGACTGATGAATGCTGGCAAGACTCACCCTTTCATTTTTCTGAGGTTTCCTATGAAACCTTAGGGGTTGCTCTGAGGTATACATATAGGGCAGATTTCTCAGATATACATGTATGCTAAGTATACCCTAAAACCTACATCAATGCAAGTCAAATTCAAGAAGAATCCCTAAAAACCTAAAGCACGGCCAGCGGTCCTCAATTTCTTTCCTGCCCCAACTCACATGAGGAATACATGGTCATGAATAACAACTCACCAAGATGGCAATTCCAAGATGGGGGCTTCATTTAGAAGCCTCCCAAGGGGTTTTAATCTGTCCCTACCCCTAATGAAATTATTAAACATTGCTCAAGAAATGATCCAATTGCTTAATTATCTTGGAATGATATACATGGTGGTATTCAAAGACACTGTTAAGTATAACACCAGCTACCTGAATGTCAGCGGAGTAATTTACAGAACAGAGCAGGCAAACCAACCAAGCCTTTTGAGAAAGAGGGAAACTGCTAAGAGACTCAGCAGTAGGCCCTATGCAACTACCAGCAATCCCTCAAAGGCAGGCTAACAAGGTATTACCTTTTCCACGAGTCTGCATTCTCTCAGCCACATTCTGGTAAAAATCCTGAGTACACTCTGACTGTTCCTCAATGCTTAAATCCTGAAACAAAGGGACAAAGAGTCTGCTTAGTAGCTGAAGAAAGATCACAAGGAAAGCTCTAAATTTTACAAAACCCACTCCTTGAACTAATCTCAAAAGTACTTACAAATTAAATTAATGCTGCAGGAGAGAAAAGCCTGTCCATTAACATTATTTACAACATTCCATGACCTCTCACTTCTTTTTGCTGTATATACACATTTTTATATGGGTACAATGCATATTTTGATAATTTGCATGTTTATGTACATTTTGATTTATCTAATCTACTTAACCATCTGACGGCTTTATAATATTCCATTATATTAACCGATTTATTTAACCACTTCTACCACTTTGTACTTGGGTTCTTTCCCTTTTTTTGCTAATTATATATTGCAGCTATAAACAACTATGCGAAGACTGTTTCTTTTAGGTTATTTCTTTGTGATTCATTTTCAAAAGCGGCATTAACAGCTTAGTAAGTCTGGACAACTTTACAGCTCTAAACATCCATTGCTAGATATATATATAACCTTCAGAAACTCCAAGTACAGTCATTAGCCACGTAGGTGTGCTTGTTTCTCCACAGCCCCTCTAACACTGGGCTTTATCATTTTTATTTGGTTTTACTGATTTTATAGGTGTAACACAAATATATATATTCACATATACTTTCTTCCAAAGAATATCTGAAGTCTATATAAAAGATAAACACAGTTCAGCACAATAACTAGAAAATGATAAACAAAACAAAACACGGAGAGAAACAGAAACAGAAAGTAGAGCCAGGAAAGATAACACAAAAATGTATTCCTTGAAGATACAGAAGTTAGCCCATAAATTTGTCTCTAACTAAACTTTCTAGCAGTCATCACTAAGATGAAAAGAGTTACATAACTGAGTGTCCAAAATGTAAAAGCAAACTAATTCTTCAGGTGAAATTCTGACACCAAAATCAGGAATTCCTCCAAGGGTTCTCATAGATTTCATCACAGATGGGCATGAATACGGCCCAAGACAAATTCCACAGGACTGCTTCTCACAGACCACCTCTGCACAGGCCAATGACACGGGCCAATAAAGCCCTGATGAAGCATGCAGACCCTGATGCTTTGGCTACCTTGGAAAAGATGCTTGGGGTGAGGGACAGTGACCAAACCTTGCCTATCTGCCTTCACAATGTCTCTCCCGTCGAACCTTCCCTGGTTTGGGTCCTCATTATCTCTCACCTGGAGTTCAGCTGCTCTCCCCACATTTGATCTTTCTCTTCTCAACTGACCATCTTATCTTATGATCTGGTCCCCACTTACCCTGCCAGGTTACCTATTGTTGAGAATCTGCATTTAGTTTTCCCGCCTCTCTAACACTGTGAAATTATTCTCTGTCCAGATGACTGTTTTTTTTTTTTTTCGGTACACGGGTCTCTGTTGTGTCCTCTCCCGTTGCGGAGCACAGGCTCCAGACGCACAGGCTCAGCGGCCATGGCTCACAGGCCTAGCCGCTCCACGGCATGTGGGATCTTCCTGGACCGGGGCACGAACCCATGTCCCCTGCATCAGCAGGTGGACTCTCAACCACTGTGTCACCAGGGAAGCCCAGTCCAGATGACTTTTACTCCTCCCCAATCCTCCAACAGCTGCCCAAGGAAGTTCCACAGTACCTCCTTTAAGGCTCAGTCCACATCTTGCCTCCTCTAAGAAGGTGCCCTCCATTCCCTCAGTCAAAATAACTTGGCAGGCCTCACAGTACTCAGAGCGCTCTGTGACCACCTTGACTGCACACTTGTTACTGCCTGAATGTTTTCTAATACCGTTAAACCTTTCTCTGGTTATTAAGAACAATTCTTCAACAGCTGAATTTAGCTCCTCTCTGTAGGTGAAACAAATCTTAATCTGCTTTCTTCTAAGTTTTTTCCTGCTTAGCTCTTTTATTTGGCTGGCATGTAAGGCTCACAGTATGAAAAACAGACCTTAAATAATCTGCATACAAACTTCCCTTTTTCAGCGGCAATTAGTAAAAAGCAATCCTGTTCCCCTTTGTTTTCCAATTCTCATGTAATTTGCTCCTGAGAAACTGAATTTATTTCTGGAATCCCTAGTTTATTTCACTGCTCTCTTTCTCTTCTCTCTCTCTCTCTCCATATTGAATATATATATATATGAAAATCATATGTAGTTGTGGTAACTTTCATTTTAGTATATTTTGAAGTCTGCTACATTTAGAAACCTTCCCTCACAAACCCATGCTTCCTTCTTTTCCTAGAATAAACAATGTAACATTGTAATTTAATATTTTAAGTGTTCGTATTGACCTGCAAAGTATTTGTAAGTTTATCTTTTTGTTTTCCTCAGCTAGATCCAGGATATTATACTTCCTCAGCTAAATCCAAGATAAAATCGAGAAACAGTCTTTTAATTCTTTGAATGAGCCTCTAACTTTCTATATTAGATTGTTATTATTTAATATTTAATCTTTTTATTGCTATTGTCTTTAAAAATTGCTATTTTTAAAAAAATGTGCTAGGCTCTTTCGCTTTTTATCTCTGGCAACTTGTACTATAACTAAATTTTGTGGATTTATCTCACCATGTTGCTAAACTTATACCTCTATTAGTATTCTGTTTTCCCTCGGATTTTCCGGCAAGATTATTTTTCCCCAATTTCTGGAAAATGATATTTCTATCCATTCTAAAAACATTTACTACATGGTTAATAGACTTGCCAGCCACTGTACAAGACAATAATATAAAAAATATTAAAATTCTCAGAGGGCATTCAGGTTAAACAGGAAGACTGAATGCACATAATTCAGTACTTTCTGCAATGGATTATCTACTTAGGTAGCTTACACATGGCTACCTTTCATTTGCACCAAATCATAACACAAGAACACAATTCATTCTTGTGATTATTACTAGTACTTACTTCTAACCAGAAACCGTGACCTCCTTTTAAAGGCCTAAATGGCTTGTTTTACAGGTGGCAATGGATAACCTATCCTACACCAGTTCCACATAATCACTGATTTTGTTACAATTCAGAAAACTCCTTTTTATATTTCTATTTCTCTTGCACAGATTTACACTTCAGTACAGTGTTTAATTCATAATGTGAACTCCCTTGCCACTCTGTCCTCTTTTCCTGCTTTAGATTATTTGGAGGACTAACCACTGTTATATATTATAAATTAGTTTACTGTCTATCTCCTCCACTAAAATGTCAGCTCCATGAGGGCACTGTTCACTACCGCACCCTTGGTGCCTACAACAGAGCCAGGCATAGTGCTCAACACTAGTTGAATGAAAGAAAGAATGAAAGTGGCCATTTACTACTGTTCCACCCTTTACAGTATTGTAAAGGGGAGACAATTCTACATAGACCTCTCCTATTTCTACACATCTCGTGAGGAGAGACACTGACTGCCTTTGTTCTGCACCCTTTTCAAGGATAGCTGTATAGCAGACAGGACTGGAAGACAGGGGTAGAGCCTCCCTTAAGTGAAAAGGGTAGATTGTTTACTGTCTAGTATAATAATGTTTCTCTCTGGGGCAAAGGTCAGGCAAGCTCATGGCCCTATAAACGATCCTCTTCTCTATTATAACTTACTGCATGTGCAGGCATTACCTGGTCTTTGCACTGCCCTGTGGGAATTGATACGTAGGGAATTGGTACAAACGCTGATATACTCTGGTTACTGCTAGTGCCGTAATAAACTGGCCTCTTTTTTTTCTGACCTAGGAGGCTTGTGTCTTCTGCCAGTATCCATGACACTATGGCAGGCTAACTTTTAACCTGCAAGGAGAGTACATCTCAGATCCTTCAAAGTTCTTGCCAAAGGAGCTAAGTGATATGATTGTAGGTTTGTGCTGGTAAATTCTTTTAAAGGTTTTTTCATAGTTTTCTAAGAAAAAACACAGTCTAGCAGTGTAAATGAACCCTTTTCTTTAAGTATTCTCTAATACTTTCTTTAAGTATTCTCTAGCCAATGCCTGGGATCATCTTTTCTATAATGTCTGTGTAAAGCCATTTTATTTTTTTTCCTAAAAAACTTTTTCTTTGTAGTGTAAAAGTTTGACAAGTGGGTATATTCCTTTGAATATTCTGAGAGGTTCTCTGTATTCTTTCTTAACTGTCTGGCTGAAATCTTTTTTCTTTTTTTCCACCCCCATTTTGAAAATTTTTGACTATTTCCTTAATTATGTTTTCTGTGTACTTCATCTTTAAAAACTGGATCTCCATGATCTGTTTTCTGGATTAATTTTCTTTTGTACTACAGTTAACTGTTTGATCTATTTAGGTTTTAACTTTAATGTTCTTTTTTTTTTTTTTGTATTGCTACTTTCTGCTGCCTTCAATAATTTTTTTTTAGGAAACTAAACACATTAGGGCTTTACTCCTCCTAAATAAAACTTAAAATTAAACATTAACATTTAAAGTACGACAAGCATGCAGTCCTCAGATTTTAAGATAGTCCACCTTATCAGGGAATATACCTTGAGGTCATGTAGAATACATGCTTCTGCTCTCCTAACAGTAATTACATAGCAGGGGAAACTACTCTTTGCACACACATGTGTAAATCTATTTTAAAATATAGGAGAACACCTAACTTTTTACTTATTTTGGGGAAGAGAAGATATAGCCATATTTTAAATTATTATATTTTCTTTCTCCTCATTCAGGTTTAGAAAACAGTTTTTCAGGAGAATTAATATCAGAAAAACTTTAAGTATATAATATAATCAATACCAGACTTTTACAGAATGAATGGCTGGGAAAAGAACACTGAAATCAGCAAAAGGTCTTAACATTGTGCTTGACTGCTTCCTTCGCAAGGAAAAAGAGCATACTTGAACTACTACTAATAAAGAAATCGTGTTTTAAAATCAGCATTGAAAAACCCAGAAAGTTCATTTATTAAAAAGCTTTAATGCAATATCCAATAAATTAAAGGGTCTAAATTTTGAGGCAGCAGAGGGTTACAAAGGTTATACTTTTAAAAATGGGGCAAGCTACACTTTCAGAACAGGGGAAAATGTATGCAAGGGATTTATCAACAATTAGCAAGGGCAGGATTTAAACAGTTTGGGCAGCAAAAGAGTTTCTCTAGGAGTCTTATTTACTTTGATTTAACTGTGGTCTGTGTGTTTTGAAAATATTTTCGTATGAATATATTTGTGGGGAAAAATTTTTTTACCAAGTCAGGGAGCTTATTAAGTTAGAAAATATGGTTTTCATGTTATGATGGGAAAGGTGAACATCTAGCTGAGTCTATATAATGTTTTAAAATTACCCTGGGCACATACAGTTTTTCATCCAAATGACAAAGAAATCTAGACATTCTTCATTTCACTGATGACCATATACATCCCTGAGTCCATGGCCACTCTTAAACCTATTTGAAGCTTGGTTCTCACAGTGGTTCTCTTAAATTCTAGTTATGTAAACTAAATATGTAACAATAATATGTTTAAAAAACTAAACCTTGTAAATTCTTCTTTAGCTTCTTCTTAGCACCCCACTCCCTCCCCCACCTTCTCATTTTCTCAATAAAATTTAAATTCTTGCTGTGGTGACTTCAAAGAAGAAAAAAGTAGCTGATGACAACTGTATGTTCAACATAAATGAATTCTGTGTTAATGATGTCACTGCCTGCCTGGCTCGTGTGTAACAGAAATATCTCTTAAAGAATGTGAAAAGGGACTACAAGGGACTATTAAGCAGCTAATGAGATTAATCAAAAAGAAAAAAGGGTAAAAAAATAAACCCTTGGGCTTCCCTAGTGGCGCAGTGGTTGAGAGTCTGCCTGCCGATGCAGGGGACACGGGTTTGTGCCCTGGTCCGGGAAGATCCCACATGCCGCAGAGCGGCTGGGCCTGTGAGCCATGGCCGCTGAGCCTGCGCGTCCGGAGCCTGTGTTCCACAACTGGAGAGGCCACAACAGTGAGAGGCCCGCGTACCGCAAAATAATAAAATAATAAATAAATAAATAAACCCTTCAGCTTCTGAAGAGTCTTAGCAAACATTTGTTGAAAAGTCAAGCATTACATTGCAATACTGCAATGTCTGTGGATTATGTAGGTGCTGAATGAAATTTCAGCCAAAAGAGATACCTTCTGGGAATGAGGAAATTAAAAAAAAAAAAAATCTCAGTAGTGATATTAAATGTTTCCTGATAAAGATAAAATGGCTGAAAAAAATTTAATGTAATTCTGAAAATACTTAATTTTCTAGACTTGACCCATATGTGGTAAAAAGGTTGCTTACCACTGGGCATACACTAGGACTGGAGAAAATAGGAATGAAGAGGAAAAAGATGTGGGCAAGAGTGGTTCATTGTTGAAATTATGGGTTAGAAAGTACAGGTCAAAGACACATGTGTGGAAGACACAAGGTGTTATCCAAGTGACCTTGGACAAGTCACTTATCCTCTCTGGCTCTCAACTTCCCCACCTGTAAAAGAAAGGGACGGTAACTATAAAGTTGCTAAGGTCCCTTTCAATGTTTAAATTTTAGCTTTCCCTTCTCTACCTGAGCAAGGAGAGGAAAATTAAAAATCAATACAAAACAAAACTAAATAAACCTAAAATGATTACTATTGGTCTAATGACTGTTACTTAGAGTTCAAGGTCTACTATGGCTGTCTTGGCAGTTTACACTATTTACAAGGTGACAAGTTAGGAAGGCATATTACTAAAGTACACAATATAAGTAGCTCTGATGCCAGACGTTCCATGCGAAGATGATCCAAACACCATTGAGTTGCAGAGGAAAAGTATTAGCCTAGGAGGCATGTTTAACTTGGTTCAGTGACATTTCTCAGGTAAAGTCACTTAACATTTCTGGTCTTTATTTTCACAGTTGTAAAATGACAAAGTTGCACTACATTATCTCTAAGACCTTTCCTAAAACCAAAACTCTATGTTTCTAAGTGGTTCTCAACCTACCCTTTTGTAATGCATTGTTTCCAAAAACAGCTTGGTCTGCTTATAGATTTCTTGGCCTGTCTTGTGGAAGGTCTTGAGAAATTCTATGAACTCTTTAGACACTCTATCCGTTTCAATGCTGGTTTGCCGGTTTATAGAAGGACTGGGAGCTTTTGGTTCCTGAATTTCTGCTGGGAAAATTAAACATAGTAAGTTTCATCACACAGATGAGCCATGCATGGAATTACTTTCAGTATCTAATTTAAGATTATTTAAATTATGCTAAATCAAAGTTAAACTTGAATTTAAATGATTTTATGTTTAAATATTTGGATTTTCCTTAAAGTAAGCTAAATCTATTTTATGAGTAGGAAGTACAATTAGATAAAACTACATATCTAAAAGATACTCCTATTCAAATAAAGGTGCTCTATGAGTATCTTCTTAGCCAAAATATATCATGCTTTGATCTATATATTTAATCGTTAACACTGACATGGCACTGCTATCTTGAACAACTCTCTCAACGACTGCATGAATTTACAAAACCAGTCAACATGTAAAATAACAATCAGTAGAAGCACAAAAATTATAGATGACTTATGCTAGACAACCTTCCCAAATCCACCTGATTTGCCAAAAAGGCAAAGAAATGAACAATTTTTATGTGGAGATGAACAATTATTTACCCACCATTCAAACTTCAAGTCATACTGCTCAAAGTGAAAGTATGCATCCAAAGTAGCACAGTGACCATGACAGAGCAGAGGCAAGAGAAGCAAAAAAAACCCCACTGTCCAATCAGTTGGCCACACAACTCTTTGCCCTCCTCAAATAAATACACTGAAAGGAAAATAAGACCTTTACATAACAGAGATAAGGGTGTTGTAATAGGGTAAGTGCTCTCAGAAAACATGAAATATCACTTGGTTTCTGATCACCTTCTAAGCCTCCTGATTTTGAATTGTGCTCTCTAATGCAATACCTGAAAGGAATTAAAGTATCTCATATACCCATGATACTTTTCTATACACACACAAAAAAAGATAATTAGGAAGAAAAAGTACCTTTTGTAGGTAGTAAAATCAACCTATTACATGCTTTCTCAGAGCAATTTCTTTCTTTTTAACTGAAGTATAGATGATTTACAATGCTGTGTTAGTTTCTTGTGTACAGCAAAGTGATTCAGTTATATATCCATATAAACATATTTTCATATTCTTTTCCATTATGGTTTATTACAGGATATTGAATATAGTTCCCTGTGCTATACAGTAGGACCTTGTTTATTTTATATACAATAGTTTGTATCTGCTAATCCCAAACTCCTAATTCATTCCTCCCCTACCCCCTTTCTCCTTTGGTAACCATAAATTTGTTTCTATATCTGTGAATCTGTTTCAGAGTAATTTCTTACAACCTTATTTTTTGAACTTTAGTATCTGAAATACATTTTAATGATGTAGCAGCAATAAAGTTTTAAAATAATAAAAGTATTACCCCTATTAGAGTGACTGGTTTATTCAAGTGAGACAAACATGCACAGATCATGTAAAAATATACCTTAACTACACAGGTCAAACTAAAGATTCCACCTCTCACTTCAAAAAAACCCTTTTCCAACGTACACAAATCAATGTGATACACCACAACAACAAAAGAAAAGACAAAACCACATGATCATCTCAACAGATGCAGAAAAAGCATTTGATAAAATTCAACATCTATTCACAATAAAAACTCTGACCAAAATGGCTATAGAGGCAACATATCTCAACATAATAAAGCTATTTATGACAAACCCACAACCAACATAATACTCAACGGTGAAATGCTGAAAGCCTTCCTGCTAAAATCTGAAATAAGACAAGGATGCTCATTCTTACCACTTCTATTCAACATAGTATTGGAGGTCCTAGCCACAGAATTCAGACAAGAAAAAGAAATAAAAGGTACCCAAATTGGAAGAGTAAAATTGTCATTATATGCAGACGACATGATACTATACACAGAAAACCCTGAAGACTCCAAACAAAAACTACTAGAACTGATAAACAAATTCAGCATGGTAGCAGGATACAGGATTAACATAAAGGAATCTGTTGCATTTCTTTACACTAACAATGAAATATCAGAAAAGTAAAAACAAACAAAAACCCTTTAAAATCACATCAAAAAAAAAAAAAAAACCACAAAAAACTTAGGCATAAACCTGACCAAGGAAGTAAAAGACTTACATGCTGAGGACTATAAAACATTGATAAAGAAAACTGAAGATAATTCAAATAAATGGAAAGATATCCCATGCTCTTAGATTGGAAGAATTAATATTGTTAAAATGGCCATACTACCCAAAGCAATCTACAGAGTTAATGTGATCCCTATCAAATTATCCAAGAAATTTTTCACAGAACTAGAATAAAAATCCTAAAATTTATATGGAGCCATAAAAGACCCAGAATTCCCAAAGCAATCCTAAGTAAAAAGCACAAAGCTGAGGGCATAACCCTTTGAGACCTCAGACAATACTACAAAGCTACAGTAATCAAAACAGTGTGGTACTGGCACAAAAACAGACATATGGATCAATGGCACAGAACAGAGAGCCCAGAAATAAACCCACACACCTACAGTCAATTAATCTTCGACAAAGGAGGCAAGAGGGACTTCCCTGGTGCTTCAGTGGTTAAGACTTCACGCTTCCACTGCAGGGGGCATGGGTTCAATCCCTGGTTAGGGAACTAAGGTCCCACATGCCAAGCAGTGCAGCCACAAAACAAAACACACACACACACACACACACACACCAAAACAAAGACAAAGGAGGCAAGAATATACAATGGAGAAAAGATAGTCTCTTCAGCAAGTGGTGTTGGGAAAGCTGGACAGCCACACGCAAATCAACAAAGTTAGAACACCTTCTCACACCATATACAAAAATAAACTCAAAATGGCTTTAAGGGGCTTCCCTGGTGGCGCAGTGGTTGAGAGTCCGCCTATCGATGCAGGGGACACGGGTTCGTGCCCCGTTCTGGGAAGATCCCACATGCCACGGAGCGGCTGGGCCCATGAGCCATGGCCACTGAGCCTGCACGTCCGGAGCCTGTGCTCCGCAACGGGAGAGGCCACAACAGTGAGAGGCCCGTGTACCACAAAAAAAAAAAAAAAAAAAAAATGGCTTTAAGACTTAAGTGTAAGACATGACACCATAAAACTCCTAGAAGAGAACATAGGGAAAACATTCTCTGACATAAATTGCACCAATGTTTTCCTGGGTCAGTCTCCCAAGGCAATAGAAATAAAAGCAAAAATAAACAAATGGAACCTAATCAAACCCATAATATTTTGCACAGCAAAGGAAACCAAAAGGCACAAAATGACAACCTACAGACTGGGAGAAAATATCTGCAAACCAAACAACTGAGAAGAGCTTAATTTCCAAAATATACAAACAGCTCATACAACTGATCACCTTCTAAGAATGTTTTTTGGTAACAAAAAAACAAACAACCCAATCAAAAAATGGGGAAAAGACCTAAATAGACATTTCTCCAAAGAAGAAAAACAGATGGCCAAAAGGCACATGAAAAGATGCTCACCACTGCTAATTATTAGAGAAATGCAAATCAAAACTACAATGAGGTACCACCTCACACCGGTCAGAATGGCCATCATTAAAAAGTCTACAGGGCTTCCCTGGTGGCGCAGGGGTTGAGAGTCTGCCTGCCAATGCAGGGGACATGGGTTCG